TGTGTGTGATGTGGTGATTTTGCGTCATGTGTGTGATGTGGTGATTTTGCGTCATGTGTGTGTTGTGGTGATCTTGCGTCATGTGTGTGTTGTGGTGATCTTGCGTCATGTGGGTGATGTGGTGATCTTGCGTCATGTGTGTGTTGTGGTGATCTTGCGTCATGGACTGATTGGTTAGGAATGTTGCTTTACTCAAGAGGTGACATCAGTTTCGATGCACTGCTGGCCACCCTCGATCACTGTGTGTAGTGACCTTGAAAGTCCAGGAAGTGAGAGGCATGCGACCTCCTCTTCCTGTAGTACAGTAGGCTACGTTCTCGACTCATAATCGGGGGGATCCCGGGTTCGATCCTCGAGAGGAGAGAGAAATATTTGGGCACGTTTCTTTTCGCCACGATGCATCTGTTCACCATGCAGGAAATAAGCACCAGGAAGGTAAAATGATTGCTGTGGGTTCGCATCCTCTGGAAAATTAGTAGTTCAATCTAAGGGAGGATCTCAATACAAGCTTAAATACATGCTCTATGTCTCTGATAACGGGAATTATAACCCCCCCGCTCCTCCTTTTCCGAGCGGGCAAAATATGCACGAATTGGCAGTTATAAACACGTGGCTGAACACTCAAAACCTTTGAATCAGCAGTTCAATTCAACGTTACATCATTGCCATTTGTCTAGATTTGCCCAAAAACCTCCTGAAATTTTAAATTAATATTTGACCGTTAAGAACCGTTAATACTTTAACGGCTTCAGCGGGTCACATGTTCCGCTTCTTTACATCTGCTTGAAGAACGGCTTTTGTTTTGGCTTGTGAGATAACGCTGAAAATACACAATGAACATATAATAACGTGATATGTCCATACGAAAATCTCTGGAGCAGGACGGGACTGGAACTAACGTCCTGGATAACCCCAAACGTGCGCCTTAACTCACAGACCACAATCACCTTAGCCATATTGCGGTCCATGGGTTAAAGTGCGCCTCTGGAGCTACTCAGGACGTTGGAGTAGCCTCTTCGATCTCCCCCGGTCCTGCGTCAGAGATTTTCTCATAACTCTGGCCGTTTGAAACGGTAGTTTCTCGTGTGGTTAGATAAAAAGAGGTTAAAGTTTTGCATCTAGCTGAGTATGTCCTAGTGTGTGTGTGTGTGTGTGTGTGTGTCTTCTGTATCACAGATGTTGATGCGACCAGTTTTTCCTCACGTATAGCGTCCCAACCTGTTCTTGTACTTAACGTCGTATTTACTGGATGTTTTCGGTTACCTTGTGTTGGCTTTTGGTCCGTGGAGGTGATATTTTTGGCCGTGGGGGTCTTGCCAACTCTCACCCTCGACCAGCTTTTCCAAACGACACACAAAGCTGCCTTCAGCATTGCTGGAGGCAGCTTCTGGGAAGGACAAAGCGCTGCTCCTAGCTGTGCAAGCTCCCCATAGCGGGGACTTCATGTTGTCTATCCCCAATTCCTCCTTGGCCACCCGCCTGGACCATCGGGTCCTAAGTATTGGTGTTGCCCTGCTCCTTGCCGCCCCTATCGCCACCGAACACCGGTGTATCTGCGGCTATGTGTCGGCAGGCCAGTACGGCAGACTTGGTCTCATCTGTCAGGATTTAACAACGTGATTAGAACTCAGGTGACCGTAGTGGGCATAGCGTTTGGGCAGAGACATCATCGTTGGCATCTTAGCGTTCCGGTCCTGCTCTCACTCTCATGGTGGGTAAGTGCTCTCACTCTCTTGATGCTCTCACTCTCATGGTGGGTAAAGTGCTCTCACTCTCTCATGGTGGGTAGAGTGCTCTCACTCTCTCATGGTGGGTAGAGTGCTCTCACTCTCTCATGGTGGGTAGAGTGCTCTCACTCTCTCATGGTGGGTAGAGTGCTCTCACTCTCTCATGGTGGGTAGAGTGCTCTCACTCTCTCATGGTGGGTAGAGTGCTTTCACTCTCTAATAGTGGGTAGAGTGCTCTCACTCTCTCATGGTGGGTAGAGTGCTCTCACTCTCTCATGGTGGGTAGAGTGCTCTCACTCTCTCATGGTGGGTAGAGTGCTCTCACTCTCTCGTGGTGGGTAGAGTGCTCTCACTCTCTCATAGTGGGTAGAGTGCTCTCACTCTCTCATGGTGGGTAGAGTGCTCTCACTCTCTCATGGTGGGTAGAGTGCTCTCACTCTCTCATGGTGGGTATAGTGAATAGTTCCGTTATTTAAGTGTTTGTGGCGGGTTGTTTGACTTGTATGTGAAGGGCTGCAAGAATTGGTAATCTTCTTGCATCTTGGGCTTTATCTATTATGCAAATGTTGCATAGTTCACTCAAGGTGTTTAGAGTTTGTTAATTAAGGTGATCGGGTCAAGAGGGCAGTTAAGGTTGGCTGCCTGGTCAACTGATAGGCGTTATCTTGAGGTTATCTTGAGATGATTTCGGGGGCTTTAGGTGTCCCCGCGGCCTTGTCCTCGACCAGGCCTCCACCCCCAGGAAGCAGCCCGTGACAGCTGACTAACTCTCAGGTACCTATTTAGTACTAGGTAACAGGGGCATCAGGGTGAAAGAAACTCTGCCCATCGTTTCTGTCCGGCGCCCAGGATCGAACCCAGGGTCACAGGATCACGCGTCCAGTAGAGATAATGATGGTATATGGCCCCCAAATTATTAACGCGCAAACATTCGTGAATTGTATTTGATACAGTACCGTGGAATGTGTGTGATCTTGACTAAATACAATACTTCCGTAATATCAGAGTGCTGACGTAATGCTTGTATTAGTTTTTGCTTTTGCTGGCGACCTCGGGAGCTCAATTGTTTTAGGGCACAGGGAGTGCCGGGGTTTATTTCTTGATAACATTTCCACAAAAGCCGAACCTGTTTGGCTGTGATCCGATATGCTCGGTCCGTGGCACCCGTGACGCGTTCTCCCTCCGTGTTTGGCGTTGAGGCGTTCTTTTTCTGGCGTTCATCTGATGCATATCAGTACACTTCTGACCTTTGGCGTCAGGAAATTTCAAAGAGGTTTATACTGTGCTTGCCGTCTTGCGGGAAAGATTCCAGGTGTGATATAGACGTATTAATGGTGAGGTTGGGTTTTTTTGGGCAAGTATTCTCTCGGTTGTAATCATGAGCTAGAGATTATTTAATTATTTTATTCAATTTTATTGGTATAGTCTTCAAGCTGTTGCGCATGTCAGCTACTGTCCATGTCAGCAGCTGTCTATGTCAGGTGCTGTCCATGTTAGCAGCTGTCTATGTCAGCTGCTGTCCATGTCAGGTGCTGTCCATGTCAGCTGCTGTCCATGTCAGCTGCTGTCCATGTCAGCTGCTGTCCATGTCAGCTGCTGTCCATGTCAGCTGCTGTCCATGTCAACTGCTGTCCATGTCAGCTGCTGTCCATGTCAGCTGCTGTCTATGTCAGCTGCTGTCCATGTCAGGTGCTGTCCATGTCAGGTGCTGTCCATGTCAGCTGCTGTCCATGTCAACTGCTGTCCATGTCAGCTGCTGTCCATGTCAGCTGCTGTCTATGTCAGCTGCTGTCCATGTCAGGTGCTGTCCATGTCAGGTGCTGTCCATGTCAGCTGCTGTCCATGTCAACTGCTGTCCATGTCAGCTGCTGTCTATGTCAGCTGCTGTCCATGTCAGGTGCTGTCCATGTCAGGTGCTGTCCATGTCAGCTGCTGTCCATGTCAACTGCTGTCCATGTCAGCTGCTGTCCATGTCAGCTGCTGTCCATGTCAGCTGCTGTCCATGTCAGCTGCTGTCTATGTCAGCTGCTGTCTATGTCAGCTGCTGTCTATGTCAGGTGCTGTCCATGTCAGGTGCTGTCCATGTCAGCTGCTGTCTATGTCAGCTACTGTCTATGTCAGGTGCTGTCCATGTCAGCTGCTGTCTATGTCAGCTGCTGTCCATGTCAACTGCTGTCTATGTCAGCTGCTGTCTATGTCAGCTACTGTCTATGTCAGGTGCTGTCCATGTCAGCTGCTGTCTATGTCAGGTGCTGTCCATGTCAGCTGCTGTCCATGTCAACTGCTGTCCATGTCAGCTGCTGTCCATGTCAACTGCTGTCCATGTCAGGTGCTGTCCATGTCAACTGCTGTCCATGTCAGCTGCCGTCTATGTCAGCTGCTGTCTATGTCAGGTGCTGTCCATGTCAGCTGCTGTCTATGTCAGGTGCTGTCCATGTCAGCTGCTGTCCATGTCAGCTGCTGTTCATGTCAACTGCTGTCTATGTCAGCTACTGTCCATGTCAACTGCTGTCTATGTCAGCTGCTGTCTATGTCAGGTGCTGTCCATGTCAGCTGCTGTCTATGTCAGGTGCTGTCTATGTCAGGTGCTGTCCATGTCAGCTGCTGTCCATGTCAACTGCTGTCTATGTCAGCTGCTGTCCATGTCAACTGCTGTCTATGTCAGCTGCTGTCTATGTCAGGTGCTGTCCATGTCAGCTGCTGTCTATGTCAGGTGCTGTCCATGTCAGCTGCTGTCCATGTCAGCTGCTGTCCATGTCAACTGCTGTCTATGTCAGCTACTGTTTATGTCAGGTGCTGTCCATGTCAGCTCCTTTCTATGTCAGCTGCTGTCCATGTCAGGTGCTGTCCATGTCAGCTGCTGTCTATGTCAGGTGCTGTCCATGTCAGCTGCTGTCTATGTCAGGTGCTGTCCATGTCAGCTGCTGTCTATGTCAACTGCTGTCCATGTCAGGTGCTGTCCATGTCAGGTGCTGTCCATGTCAGCTGCTGTCCATGTCAACTGCTGTCCATGTCAGCTGCTGTCCATGTCAACTGCTGTCCATGTCAGCTGCTGTCCATGTCAACTGCTGCCCATGTCAACTGCTGCCCATGTCAACTGCTGTCCATGTCAACTGCTGCCCATGTCAACTGCTGCCCATGTCAACTGCTGTCAGCTGCTGCTCCCTAAGCTTCACACTTTAACGTGAGAAAAACACAACATTTGCATTTTACATTTACAATGTATAAGAAGCCATCGGCCCATAAACAGGCTATGTCTTGGTGATGGACCACCTTGGTGATGGACCACCTTGGTGATGGACCACCTTGGTGATGGACCACCTTGGTGATGGACCACCTTGGTGATGAACCACCTTGGTGATGGACCACCGTGGTGATGGACCACCTTGGTGATGGACCACCTTGGTGATGGACCACCTTGGTGATGAACCACCTTGGTGATGGACCACCGTGGTGATGGACCACCTTGGTGATGGGGCCACCTTGGTGATGGACCACCCTGGTGATGGACCATCCTGGAAGCTTGAATATTACCACATATATAATGGAATAATGGCATAAATTGTTGTAGCAATGATACCGTCTTGGGAGACGTTGTGATTATTGAGGGAGACTTCCTTGTGGTTCTTGGAGGAGGGGGAGGGGAGAGATGGTTATGAGGAGGGGAGGGAGGAGGAGGAGGAGAGTGTAGATCAGAATGCAGTGCATGACGACACAACCCCCCCCCCCCCCCGTCCCCTCTCCCGGCGGCATCCATTCTTCAGCTGACAGCTCGGGGCAAACCCCAGATGGATGGGGGGGGGGGGGGCGGGGAGGGAAGGCCTCAAGATCAAGGCCTCAAGCTGGATCTGGTGGTGAAACAGTTTCCAGGATGGTGTAGTGGTTAATGTACGTGTCGTCCCCCCCCCTCGTATAAACCTTCATAACATATAAAGCTGTGCGAGCGGTGAATGAACTCCTGATCCTAGGCATCTGTCAGCTGGGGCCGGGAGCTAGAGCCCAAACATGGTTGGAGTAACACCCCCCCCCCCCTTCACAGTCAATCTTCGTGGTGGACGGGTTCAGTACACGACGTAACTCCACGAAATAGGAATTGAGCAATACTGGTTTCCAGGTGTATAATGCATTTATTGCAAGTTATGGCCACGGAGGAAATAATATGTTGCACGCACTGAAATATTGCAACAGTTGGATATTGAAGAAGTGTCTGCCTTATGTTTTTTATTTTTTATTTAAGTCCATGGTACTTATTTACTGGTAGGTGAATGGTAGCATTAGATGAAAGGAAACGTGCCCAACCGTTTTTGTCCCAGTTAGTAAATACTAACTGAAGTCAAGGATAGTGACAGGCCACAGTGATGGTGATGCAGAGGCACTGAGGACGTGTAGTATACATTATCTGCAAGAATAATTCACATTCACATGAATGTGAATTCACATTCAATTGTCACGGCTATAATGAATAGGAAAAATGCATAAAAAATAATTGACAGTTTACTGGAACATGTTCCAGAATTTCCAGTAATGAAGCTGATGAAGCTCAGCTGGAACGTGTTCATATACTTCCAGGTAACCAAGCTGAAGCTGAGTCACGGAACGTGTGTCACCTCTTTGGTGAATCCTCTTGAGGATTCACCAGAAGAACATTATCCAGGATAATTGACGATTATCCAGGTGTCAATCACAGTTCGTGCCCGAACTATCCTGCACCCACACAGCCTTTCAGGACCGCTGGTTCACTGAGCATGCGCGGTAACGACCCATCTTGCCCTATTACACAAAACTAATTGAGGTATATTGAAAGCGGCACTCAAATATTCTTGTACACAAAAGAAAACGGTTTTCTCAGTCTCCCCTATATATTTCTCCTTCAAATTCTCTCTACACCGACCACTCAGATGACAGTCTCACTGTTGAAGTAAGCACAGTTTATAACACCAGTCACTCCCAGCTGTTCAAGTGACTGACGATTCTACTTGGTTCAGAACTTCCAAGCATAAAATTATTTCAGAACAAGCAAAAATGCTGCTGGCGAGGGGAGACTTACCTAGTGTCAGTATTAAGCCTTGAACTGTCGCAACATGACAGCCAGTTACATCAGTCTCTGCCGAATAATTTTATAAGTTAAGAACAAAATTCAATTTATACATTTTGTGTGCGTTAAGGGAGGGTTGAACAAGCGCTCATTAACGGTGTTGTGGAGGTTATTTTGATGACTGATGCAGTAATAACAGATAACCAAGTACACATTGTTGATTATTAGTAAAGGGATATGGTAGAGGTTAATTAATAATATTGATGAATAATAAAGAAGATGTGGTAGGATGTTATTAAAGGTTTAGTTTATCTGATTACTGCTACAGTAATCCGTCAGAGGGAGAGAAGAGCGGACACAACTCAGACATGTCTCTGGTGTGGTCAGAACCTTATCTTGAGGTTATCTTGAGATGATTTCGGGGCTTTAGTGTCCCCGTGGCCCGGTCGAACCTCCACCCCCAGGAAGCAGCCCGTGACAGCTAACTAACACCCAGGTACCTATTTTACTGCTAGGTAACAGGGGCATAGGGTGAAAGAAACTCTACCCATTGTTTCTCGCCGGCGCCCGGGATCGAACCCGGGACCACAGGATCACAAGTCCAGCGTGCTGTCCGCTCGGCCGACCGGCTCCCCTTGACCAGAAAATATTAAAGATAGAGTCGAAAAAATATATTTTAAAACTGAAAATTGACAGTGTAGTGGAATTTTTTTTCGAGAGTTTAAAAGGTGAGAGAGAGGTAAGGAACCTGTGTTTGATGAGCAGGAGGTCGTGGAGATAACTCTCAGCAGCTGGAGTAGCACCTTAGGTCACCCTCGGAGAGAGGTGACCCTTGACCAAGAAGGAGTATTAGGTAATCGTCAGAAGAGAGGGCCTCCACCGCTCCTGTGCCAGGTAAGTCCACTACGGGCTCACCATAGCCCGTGCTACTTGCCCCGCTCCTGTGCCAGGTAAGTTACGGGCTCACCATAGCCCGTGCTACTTGCCCCGCTCCTGTGCCAGATAAGTCCACTACGGGCTCACCATAGCCCGTGCTACTTGCCCTGCTCCTGTGCCAGGTAAGTTACGGGCTCACCATAGCCCGTGCTACTTGCCCCGCTCCTGTGCCAGATAAGTCCACTACGGGCTCACCATAGCCCGTGCTACTTGCCCCGCTCCTGTGCCAGATAAGTCCACTACGGGCTCACCATAGCCCGTGCTACTTGCCCCGCTCCTGTGCCAGGTAAGTTACGGGCTCACCATAGCCCGTGCTACTTGCCCCGCTCCTGTGCCAGGTAAGTTACGGGCTCACCATAGCCCGTGCTACTTGCCCCGCTCCTGTGCCAGGTAAGTTACGGGCTCACCATAGCCCGTGCTACTTGCCCCGCTCCTGTGCCAGGTAAGTTACGGGCTCACCATAGCCCGTGCTACTTGCCCCGCTCCTGTGCCAGGTAAGTTACGGGCTCACCATAGCCCGAGCTACTTGCCCCGCTCCTGTGCCAGGTAAGTTACGGGCTCACCATAGCCCGTGCTACTTGCCCCGCTCCTGTGCCAGGTAAGTTACGGGCTCACCATAGCCCGTACTACTTGGAACTTGTTCCGAGTAGCTGAATCTATAACAACAACAACGACTGGCCTCGTTAGTATGACTGGCGCGGTGGTAAGCTTAATTTGGTCACTAAGACCCGGGTTCGATTTCAGCGCCAGGACAGAAGAGTTTAACGCACGTATCTTTTCACCTAATGCATCTGTTCACCTAGCATAAAGTAAATCGGTACCGGGGAGTTAGGGATCTGTTGTGAATGGCATCCGGCTATTGGGAAACCATAAGGTGATATGTAAGATGACAGGATAAGAACTGAGACACATCGTCGGAGTAAAGGAACGATACCCAGTCGCATTAGGGGCTCGAACGCCGACCTTGCAAGAAGAGCGGCCGTCGCTGCACTGACCAGTCAGAGTGAATGGTCTGAGGGAAGAGTGAAGCCGACGACTTCATGTTGTAACTATTCTGTGCTGTTGTTGTTGTTATAGATTCAGCTACTGGGACCAAACAGTCCCAGGCAGCACGGGCTATGGCGATCCCCTGGAGATGTGCCGAGCTGTTCTGTGCTCTCAGGGTCAGAGTGAAGAGAAAGGTCAGGCGGCAGGAAGGCCAAGAGCACTATAATGAAGGTGTTCAACTGTACTAGAAGTGCAAGCGACCATTACGTGTAGATAATGAGGCTATAATGTAAGCGCTGACAACTTGCCCGGGAATGCGTGTGCAAGACAGACAAGGTTTCCAACGGTTCTGCAACCACGGGTAAAGCAAAGGTGTTAGGCTGTATGGAAGGTTTGGTGTGGAATTAATGGGCCACGGACATCGTGGCCCATTAATTGGCCCATGGCTATCTGCGGACAGCGTCAGTAGATAGCCTCCGATAGCCTCCAGAAATATATGATTTATATGCAATGTTTATAAAGGTGTTGTAGACACCGTAGAGGGGAAGGTTAACAGAGGTGTGTTGGGGGGGAAATATTGCTCAAATTGGTGGAAATATGAATTGTTCAACATCCTTGAGAAGAGGGGCAGGAAATTGTTCCACCGTGTAACGGGATAATATGAGTGTGTGTTGCTGGAGTGTGAGTGTGTGTTGCTGGAGTGTGTGTGTGTGTTGCTGGAGTGTGTGTGTTGCTGGAGTGTGTGTGTGTGTTGCTGGAGTGTGTGTGTGTTGCTGGAGTGTGTGTGTGTTGCTGGAGTGTGTGTGTGTTGCTGGAGTGTGTGTGTGTTGCTGGAGTGTGTGTGTGTTGCTGGAGTGTGTGTGTGTTGCTGGAGTGTGTGTGTGTGCTGGAGTGTGTGTGTGTGTGCTGGAGTGTGTGTGTGTGTGCTGGAGTGTGTGTGTGTGTTGCTGGAGTGTGTGTGTGTGTGCTGGAGTGTGTGTGTTGCTGGAGTGTGTGTGTGTTGCTGGAGTGTGTGTGTTGCTGGAGTGTGTGTGTGTGTGTTGCTGGAGTGTGTGTGTGTGGAGTGCTGTGAGTGTGCTGTGTGTGTGTGTGTTGCTGGAGTGTGTGTGTGTTGCTGGAGTGTGTGTGTGTTGCTGGAGTGTGTGTGTGTTGCTGGAGTGTGTGTGTGTTGCTGGAGTGTGTGTGTGTGTGCTGGAGTGTGTGTGTTGCTGGAGTGTGTGTGTTTGCTGGAGTGTGTGTGTGTGTTGCTGGAGTGTGTGTGTGTGTAGCTGGAGTGTGTGTGTTGCTGGAGTGTGTGTGTGTTGCTGGAGTGTGTGTGTGTGTTGCTGGAGTGTGTGTGTGTGCTGGAGTGTGTGTGTTGCTGGAGTGTGTGTGTGTGTTGCTGGAGTGTGTGTGTGTGTTGCTGGAGTGTGTGTGTGTGTTGCTGGAGTGTGTGTGTGTGTGCTGCTGGTGTGTGTGTGTGTGTGTGTGTGTTGCTGGAGTGTGTGTGTGTGTTGCTGGAGTGTGTTGTGTGTTGCTGGAGTGTGTGTGTGTGTTGCTGGAGTGTGTGTGTGCTGGAGTGTGT